GCACAGCAGACCTCTCCTGTATCCCCCACTGCTCCCCTCAGCAGTGGATTTCAGTAGATCTGCCTGTTCTGCTCCCACTCTGTCTCTGGTGAATCCTTTCAGCACCCCCCTCATCTCTGGCATGCATAAATAAATCTTAAAAAAAAAAAAAAAGAACAAATAAAGGTCAAACTGGCCTCTTTTACTGACAATACAGTTTTTTTCTCTCTGATATCTGATAACACAAGATAAAATATATGTGTGTACATATATGATAAAAAAAATCAGGAAAATAAAGAAATGGGGGGAGGCATTTTCAAAAAGGTATAAGATAAATTTATGCTATTAACATCATTTCCAGATGTATTAGGCAGATAAATACATATATTTTAAGGAGACATAAATGTGGATATATAGATTTGGTAAGAACATAATTGAACAGTAATTCTTTCTAGCTAAAGAAGCAATACTTAAAAGAGATTACCCTCTTAAGCATTTCAAAAGCAAAAAGTAGATTCTAATTAAGGGACAAGTAACAATTAATTTGCCAAATACATTAACCTGTGTTTAGCCATATGCTCAATAAAAGGGCTCTTAAATTTGCTTATTTAAAATCACCATACAGTCTAGATATGGAGAGAATATGAATTAAACACTGACTTCTCCTGCATATACGATGCCAGGAAAACAAATATAAGAGAAATAAGTAATTTCACTTATCCAAAGTCAAGGATATTTTAATAGGAAAAAAAATTAACAGTAGTAATCTTAAATACTTACCGAGACTTTTCCCAACTACTTTTGCTTGTAAATATACCAATAACTAAAAAAAAACATGGGCCATACCTGCTTGATGGGCTCTGCAATTAAACAGCCAACGACTTTCTTTTCATCAGATATAAAGAGAAAAGTCTTGGTTTTGTTTGGATATCTGGGAACAACTTGATGGAAACCCAATTCAGTATCGACAAGTTCTTGCACATCTTCTACCTAATGATGTTAAAAACCAAGAGGTGAACTTGTTATAAAAAGCATCATAAAAAAAATGAATCAATACACAAAAAATTTATTACTATCATTTAACTTCCTTTATCTCTTTCCTAAAATTATGCCCCTCCATTATTTCACCATGTTGCATATATCTGTCCTTTTGGAAAACAGGGTTTTAAGTACCCAATTTAAAGATCACTTTCAGCAGAAAGAAATTCAGGTTCTTGGGAGACATAAGGAGTAAGTGTCAAAACAGATTTGTTTCTGCTTTCTTTATTGTTCACAGTGGCTACACATCCTGCCCAAGACACAAGTCACAACAGCATCAGAAACAGATTCTGGCTCACCCACGTTAGCAATGGAAAGTCTAGTGATTCTTCCACAAGTGCGTGAAGGTAAAAGATAAGCAGAGCAGGCAGAAGGACCGAAATACACTGCTGAGGGGAGCAGTGGGCGGCAGGAGAGGTCTGCACGCCATGTGCGACCCTCCTCTAGTGGCCGGGGAGCAGCCGGGGATCAAACTGGTGCTGCAGAGGCTGCGGGCAGCTTCGCAACCCAGCGCTCAACCACTGTGCCACCGGGGAGGCTCTAAAATGGGTTTTTCTATAGGCATTTTATACTTCCACACAAGTTGATTTCCTAGAGGGGATGAGTGGAGAGAGCAGGGGGAGAAAGACTAGAAAGCTACTGCTCCACACCTTCCTCAGGGTGTAACTTGGATCACGTGGGAGGACCAGCACGATTTTCCCATCCCAATACTCTGCTACGATACGTTCTTTTTCCAGCCCTGCAAAGGAAAAATAAATCACAAATTAATTTCTGAAGAGACAAAAAACAAGCCGTTAAATAATTTTTTCTGGAGAGGACAAAAGCTAAACAATGAATGGTATAAAAAATGATGGGATGAAATCCAACTAAAGCAAAGATACCTAAAACCAGGTTGTCTGTCCCCATGGGGCTGACACCTCCCCAGGAGACCGGGCAAAGTCCAGCGCATTGTGAGGATGGGGAGGTAGTGGGATAAGCAGGTCTGGGGGAGGCTTACTCAGAGCCTACTAGACTGGAAAGAGGGGTCCCGACGGCTATGTGCTTTCTTCCTTCAGCAGCTTAGCACAGTTTGACTTTAGCATCTCACCTTACTCAAAAGAGGGCACCAGTACTGAGCTCAAGAGACTTGTTTGACAGAGATTCCTCTGTCTATGCACCCCTATGACAATAGCTTATTCCCAGTTCAGACGAGCGGAAAGGGAACATGTGGTCTATATCTGTAATGGAATACTATTCAGCCATCAAAAAAGATAAACGTGCCATTTGCAACAACATGGACGGAGCTGGAGAAGGTGCTAAGTGAAAGAGGTCAGAGGGGAAAGCCACATACCAGATGGTGTCACTTATATGGAAACAGAAAAACAAAGGTCAGATAAAGCCAAACTAACAAGTTCTGGAGAGCTGACGAGAGAACAATGACAGCTACTAGAGGATGCTGGCACGAGTGAGAACAAAGTGGGAAAGGAATGCGTGGCCTGTGGGAGCCTTGGTGGTGAGTGTGGTGGAGTAACAACACCTGGAGGGGGAGGTCCTATATCTCTAAACACAAACGATGATGTAAACCAATGTTACCTCAATTGAAAAAAGAGAGAGAGAAAAGGAAGCATCTGAGGAGCAGGTACATTCACAAAGGCCAATGACAAGATGTGCTTGAAGTGGAAAGGTGGAACCTCGCTGCTTGGAAACAAGAACATCTGGAGGAACAACAGGCTGGTGTTGGAAGGGCGTCTCTACAGGTGAGACCAAGTGAGAGGGGCGTCTGCTCAAGCCGTGAGTTTTGTGTCTTGACTGCTCAGCTCAGAAAGCTAGAGGGGAGGATGCAAGGTGCCCTCAACCTAGGGCCGCCCTGCTTTTCTATCAGAAAGCTTGAAATAGCAGTAGCTTTTCAATACTGTCATTCTCAACTATTAAGGTCAAAGATATAACAAATGATGAAATATTTATGGATATATAGACTTCCAATATTTAAGCAAAAGAAATGACCTTGAAGGCAGTCTAACTCTGAGGACAGTGGAAAGACTCTGGACTTACTGTATACTTGATTCCTTCCAGAAACCTGTGGTGATGCTGGACATGCTGCAGCTCGTCCTCGGGGTTGGAAGCCGTATAGATCATGCCGCAGGACTTACACATAGTGGCACCAAAATACTTCTGACCGGCATCCTGTGATTCAGGGGAGGAAAAAACCTTTCTAAACAGATCACAAATAGCTCTAGATTGAGTTCATGTACACACTCGCTGAAATTTCTCATTTCTCTTTGATGCTGGCACAAGTGAGATACTAAGTGAAAGTCTGGTTACCACAACCTCCTTGGTATCCAAACAAAAGGGAGTGAGATTTAAAAAACGCAGTAATTGATAGATTGAATGGATGGTACTATCAAAATCAAGATTCCTTATCTAGACACATGGTTTTAAGTAGGAATAAAATTAAATCATAAAAATTATAGCTAAGACGAGCAGTTGAACTTCTTTACAAAGCTCTTGAATGTGTGATCTAAGTATTATTTCAAAAATACCCTTAAGAATTTTGTATTTTTTAATTGGTTAGGAATATTAAAATTCTGTCCCAAAAGTTGATCAAAATACAGAACAAAGATTCAATAAATCCACAGATGAATTCAGGAATCCATGGAACTCAGGAATATTCAATGTTATGGCTTGTAACTCTGCTCTCTCTTAGAGGCCATTGCTTAATGCCCCTGGAAAGACCAGGTTCTGAATTGTCCAACATACAGGTGGGCAAACATGTTCTGCAACGGACCAGACAGTAAATATTTTAGACTCTGCAGGTCACATTATCTTTTGCAACTCTTTAAAAATGTAAAACCATTTTCAGCTCATGTTTGGTCTGTGGTTGTATTTTGGCAAATTCAGGTCTAATACAATATGGCTATTCTCATTAATCTTCAAATGATCGTCAACAATTCATTTATGAGTATTCTACGAAGTTTTTACCATTGACCAGCACTGCTTGATTAGCTTTAAATGGTGCCACTACAACAAAGCTGGCTTCTGCAAAAGCCAGAATATAGCCACAACCCACTTTAACTATGCTCAGGTAAGGGGAATGACTTCACGGCCTACATGTGAGAACCGGGGAAGGGAGGCGGTTACTCACAATGACAAGCTGGTCTTTTGTTTCTTTACTTGTATCTCTGGCATTAGAACTTTTCTGGGTATTGATCTGTTTCAAGACGTTGGTGGGTACAATGGACCCCACAGAAGACTGTTCTTCGACTAGAGATCTTGAAATAGAAAGTTGTTTAACATCATTTAACAATTTTTAAATATTGGGGGAATCACAATACAAACAGAGATACATACAGAACATCCACAGAGCGCCTTGCAATTTTAGGGCTTTCTGTCCATAATGATTTGAAGTAACAGGTGGCAACAATGAAAAAGCTGAGGCTACTTCAAAGAGATCAGTATGTACTTAAGCAAAGTAAAGAGTACAGAACAGAGTGGTGAGGCTCAAATCCTGCCCTTCTGACTCCAAGTCTAAGGGACTGTCACTTCTATAACATACAAACACGCATGATTTCTCAAGTTGACTTCACCTTCACCCTTAAAAATTGAATTTTTTCTTTATCAAACCTCAGGACAATAGTTACCACATGGTATGAAGAAATCCCTGCAGTGTCAGACAATGAGTAGATGCTAATAAAGAGTCCCAAAGGGCTCACATAATTAAGAAAACCTAGAACATTAAAGTAAGATCAACTCCTACCTTTTTGTATTGGTTGAAGACACGCTGAAGATGGGGTAGACAAGGGACTCAGCAGAAGCTGGTAGGGGAAATAATGATGATTTACATCATAAAATAAATTCCAGATTAAACTTAGATTTTAAAGGTCAATAAGGCAAAAATACTAACATTATTTGATTTTAAGACTTACCAGTAATCAAGACAGTATGATATTGACAAAAGGATAGACAGGACAGAACAGGGCCCAGAAACAGATCCATGCAATACAGTCACCTGATTTTTCACAGAGGCAAAGGTGACTCAATGCAGAGAGGCAAAGGACACATAGTCAACATCTTACATAAAACTCTAAAACTTCCAGGAGAAAATTTAAGAGAAAAATCCACACAAGCTTGGGTTTGGTGATTAGCTTTTACACTTCACACCCAAAGCACAACACAGGAAAGAAAAATGTACTCAAATTAGACTTTATCAAGTTCAAACTTTCAGTTCTGCAAAAAGAGAAATAAAAGGACAAGCCATAGACTGGGAGCAAATATTTGCAATCACAGTTCAACAGTTTGCACCTAGATAATGCAAAGAACCTTTAAGTCTAACAATTTTTTTTTTTTTTATACAGAGGCATGTTTTATTTATTTATTTGTTTGTTTTTTTTTGTTTATACATGCACTGGGTACAGTCAGAAGCACGGGAGGGTGAGAGAATTCACCAGAGCCAGAGCGGGGAGCAGAGCAGGCAGAAGGACCGAAGTACACTGCTGAGGGAGCAGCGGGCGGCAGGAGGTCTGCGCGCCATGTGGGACCCTCCTCTGGTGGCCGGGGAGCAGCTGGGGATCGAACCGGCGCCTCCGAGGTCGCGGGCAGCTTCGCAACCCAGTGCTCAACCGCTGCGCCACCGGGGAGGCCCCTAAGTCTAACAATTAAAGATGGGCAAAGAGCTGAACAGCACTTCACCAAAGACATACACATGGTAAATAAACACATGACAAGATGCTTGGCATCACCTGGCATTAGGGAAATGCCAAGTTGCAGGCATAGCTACCAGCTCACACCTAACAGAATGGCCAACACTAAAAAACTAACAGTAACAATGGTGCCGAGAATGTCGTGTGACAGGAACCCATTAGCCATAGGATTTCAGGATGAAGAGGAATCTAAAAGTTAAACTAACCCTTTCCTTTAGGGATCCCTTTCCCCAGATGACATGGCTAGTTAGTGGGAGACCTAGAGAAGAACCCCAAGTTTCCTGATGCCCAAGTCAGTGTCCTTTCTATGGCTCAGCCAATTCTGCTCACTAGTAGGCTTTGATACAAAATAAATTGTGTCTACATCTTCCTATTATTTGGGGTAAAAGTACGGTAGGGATGATTTTATAGAATACCTAGTTCTAGGGAGCTTAAAGAACTCGGCCACTACCCAGGCCATGAAGCGTCAGTATTTTGCTTCAATTCCAGCCTAAGGTCTCCCTTTCAAAATGCGCTGCAGTGCTTACCACAGAAAAGTGCCACTGAGAGAAACACAGGTACAAACACAGGTACAAATACTGAATTAAAAAAAAAAAAGAGCCAAAATATCGTATATATAATTTCACATTGACACATGAATGAAGCCCTATAATAAACTTGCTTTGAGAAATTTTCGATTACTTACCTGCCTTATTGCCACTGACGGAATCCTCTGAAGAAAAATGCTTACTTTCCTCAGGTTTGCATTCTTTTGAAGGAAGTACTCCAGCTAATGAGTTCTGAAAATAACGAGTAAAATGAAAGGAAATCACTTTCAAATTCAGTGAATGAGCCCCAACAGATCTTTTTTCTAAGGCAAAATACATTGTTCATTGTGGACTACATTTCATAATGTGATTGTAAATTCTCAAATTTCAGGCTATTTTTAGGAAATTTTCTCTATACCAAATACACATAACTGTTTGAGTGATAGTGTGCACATATTTAAGTCTGTAAAAGGTCACCCTTGTCAGGGCTTCCCTGGTGGCACAGGGGTTAAAGTCAGTGCTACCAAGCTATTGCCAGCCACAGAGGCATGAGTTCGATCCTGCTAAGGAGCTGACCCACATGGCACAGACCTCTCCTGTCTCCCAACTACTCCCCTCTCTGGCTCTGGTGAATTCTCTCATCGCCCACAACTCTGGCTCCAGTTCTTATATGAGTAAACAAAGCAAATTAAAAAAAAAAAAAGGTCACCCTGACCAAAAAAAAAAAAAGCATATTTCCTAGTAAGGAAGAAGATCCCACAATATCCCTTTTATCATAATGAACTGAACTAACAAAATTAGTAAAAATGGCAAAAACTTGGGCCTCCCCTGGTGGTGCAGTGGTTGAGCACTGGGCTGCGAGGCCCACAGGCGAGGGTCCCATGGGGGGGGGGGGGGAGGCAAAAACTTCCGCAGCGACCACCAAAGTAGAAAGGAACAGCCGTTTTGTCACATGTTTTTAGAAACAGGCAGCCAACGAGAGAAAAAGAACATTGCACAGAGGCTTCTAATTCCCACTTTTGGGCCATGTAGCAGGGGAGTGGGAAAAGCCAAGCAGAAGAAATCCCGGCACATTTCACTTCCACCATTAATGAGACAGACAACAGACAGCTTGGGGAAGAGAAGAAATCTTTCACTTAAGCAGAACCCCTATTCAAGACCATATCGTCTCATTGCACCTTGCAATTTGCACTTCTCAGGGCTCCACCATGACTTGGGGAGAGCTTATGTGGCTCCCAATGAGAGCAGAATACTCTCAGGAAAGATGAATCTTAGCAGTGGGTATTTAACAAATTTATGGTGCACAGAAGCTGAGCTTCTCAGACTACTAGCAACTGAGAACCCAACATCCAGGCCTTGGAAACTAAGCTCAGAGAAGGAAATAAGGTAGAAAAGAGTGATGCATGAGGGAATTTAATGACATAGACACCATAATGGCAAGAAAATGTTGGTCGGTTTTCTGAAGCCAAACAAGGAAGAAAAGTCCCATCTTGACACCCTGCCTCTAAATTCTTTATAGGGATTAACTTACACCATTCAGCTTCATAAAAGCAATAACTTTGTTTGACTATGTTATATAGTTTATGTATATGGATGATTTCTTTACCTTTATTAACTTCTCTTCATTTTTACTGCTTGCACTCAGCAGTTCCAAGTTCAGCTCCTGTTCTAGTGACAAGCACTTGGGCACCTGCTTTGTCTCAAAAGTTTTTCTTTTGTTGACAGTCTCTACATCAGAATCTTCGGCTACATTCTTCTGGGTGAGTTCCAGTAATAGTTTATTTTCAAGAGACAAATTTCTAAGAGAGGATTTTTTTCTACTAACAAAAAACGCTGCCCCACCCTGGAGCGTAACTGGGGGTTTGACTTTTTGGCTTAGAACTCGAGGTGCATTTAGATTATTTTCAGTCGAGTAACAGTTATTCTCTTTCTCTACAACTGGCTTATAGGTCACTCGACTTTGCTTGGAATTTTTAGAATTCTTCAAGATAGGCTTGATGCATTTATAACCCTGTTGGTGCTTGGCAGTTAAACTCTTCTGTGTTTTTTGTTCATCTTCTTGGAGCAGACTGGTTTTCTCTGCTTATTTTCTGTCCCACTGGGTAAAGGTGTATCTTCAGTAGCTTTTAGAGAAGCGGATCTACAATCTTTTATCAGCTTTCTCTCCAGTGGATTGAGGTACCACTTATCTCTGTTGTAAAAGGATACGGTAGACACAGCAGATTTAAATGGTGAGCCTTGGTTTGCAGATGGCAATCTGTTTTTCTCAGTTGTTTTGAGTGGACTTGAGATGAAATGACCTTGTTGAGAGCCATGCACCTTTTCCTCATTTTTATCACTGTTTAGGCTAGTGTACTCTTCAGTAGATAGAAATGTATTTTCACTCAAGTCCAAAAGTGATTTCTTCGATGGACTATCTGGTAACAGGCTATACAAAAAAAACAAAGTCCATTAATAAGTATCATTATTTGCTTCAATTTTCTGTCAACCTACTGCTAAGTAGTAACCAGACCTAAGTAGTAACTCATATCAAAAACAATACATCCTCTCAGCCAAATATCCATACATGTTATCTATTAACAGGATTCTCAAATTGTCTTTACCAAATGAAGCATTCAAATATTGAAGTGAGAGTCCCAATGTCTATGTAAAAACAGTTTACAAAGAAGTTCTGATATATGTGTGTAGATGTTTTAAAACCTATTTGTCTTAGCCATACACAAATTATAACCCATATACTTTAACTTTGCTCACCTAAATGATTAATTTTATATAATAAACTGACCTCTGAGAGTCTTGTTCTGTGGGGAGTAATTTCTTTCTTCTATCACATGGACTAAGTACTTAGTGCACTTACTTTCTAGAATTGTTACTGTATGCAAAATACTGTAAATACTGGGAGAGTGGAAAGGAGCAAGGTAATGAAAGATTTGACATACATTTCCAAGCCATAGAGAACACATAGCTTTATTTCTCTTTTCTGCCTCCAAAGGCTCTAAATAATTAGTTATGAAAGCTGACATTGTTACAGTCTAGAATTAGAATATAAAATATCACTATAACCATATGGAGTATGAGAATAGAAGAATGGGAAATTTAAGAGATAGAGGATAGACCAGAAAGCTAATTTTTTTTTTGTAGTGTTTGCACCTCTAGGGTGAGACTCACTTGTCACGGTTCAAAGAACGTTGCTTCCTTTTCCTTGGGGTGAAAGCTGACATCTTCTTCACTGAGCTCCTAAAAGAGACAGGAAAATTATAATAACCAAACTCACCAAATGACTGTAAAAATCACTATATCAAAATTATACTTTAAAACTCTAAATAAAGAAGTTTCCAGATAGATGATGGCCCATAAAAGTTCAAGAAAAGCGTTGCTTTTAAGCACCCCTTTAATAGTTAAATCATTCAGGAAAAAAAGAAAAGAACACACTCCATCACAGTAGCAATTAAGAACAAGAAATTAAAAAAAGCGGGAATGGGACATGTTTTAAGCTGGAAAACGATTCTGCCGAGGAGGAAGAATTTTTCTTACCCCCAAGCCGGAGGAATTCCTCCCAAGTTTGAGCACCATCTTCTGGGAAGCCTGCCTGGTCACTGCCCTTGCTCGTGAGTCCCTGTGCGGTCGCTGTCCCCGGACCTTTCTGTCTCTACCCCAGCTCTCATGTGGCCTCCCATCCCCCCCGCACGTGATTCACACCCCATCTTGTGGTGGGTCTCACTGGTTCATCAACAGCCTGTCCAGCCCCCACGTCCTGTGAGGAAAGGGCAGAGCACAACCCTCTCCCGTCTCACGAGCCGGGCTCTGGGCGAGGCGCCCGCCCCCTGACCGCGGCGCGGGGCCGAGGAAGCGAACCCCACCCCGGGGCGCTGCTCGTGGCGAGCTCGTCCCCCCCTTGGGCGAGCAGTCCTCGTTCACAGCCACACAGGCCTGACCTCAAAGCCGAAGGGTCGAACTGAGAGGCCAGGGCGGCAGGGAGCTCCTGTGGAGGCCGACCTGCCCGGGCTGGAGCTGGAAGCGGAGAGGGGGCACCCCCACCCCGACCCAGGCCGGGGCAGAGACGGGGCATCTGGGGGTCGGCAGGAGGGAGCCCCGGCCCGGAGGGGACCGTCCCAGCCGCCGACCAGAGCCCAGCGCTTCTCCCCTTTTTCCTGGACATGCAGCCTCCTGGCCCCCCCCAGACTCCCCACTTCCCTACCCCACGCCTCGACCCCCCCAAAGGCAATTACCCGCGCCCCGGAGCCGGCAGCCTCCGCTCGCCGAGCCAGGCGCTCCTGCACTGTATTCAAACGTTCGCGCGCCAGGCCTGGCGGAGGCCGCTGCGACCTGATTCGCCGCTTCTCGGCACCTCCCCAAGGTCTGGCGCGGTGATTGGTCCCTCCCCGACCGCGGCCCCGCCCACCCGGGGCTAGGGCTCCAAGACTCTCCCGCCCTTGGAAGCCCAAAGGGTCTCTTCACGAGGAAACCACACTTCCCACAATCCCCTGAGGCAGCGCCGGGCTCCATTCTTGTGGTCTTGGTTAGGTGCATTCTGGGAAATGTAGTTTTCGGCAGAAAAAGTGGCTGTTGCCCTGGAGATGGTATACCTTGACCCTTGGTGTTACAAGTTTTTGTAAAGTGGTCTTTCCAAATAAGCAGTTATTTTTCATATTAGAAGATTGGTGATTAAAAAAAGAAAAAAATATAAAAAACAAAAAAAACAGCAACAACGAAAAAGAAGATTGGTGGTTAAACTTTCTCACTAGTAATATGTTGGGTTTCTAGCTCATTTTGTATTTTTCAAATTAAATTTAAAAATTAAAAAAAATTAAATTTAAAAAATTTAATTAGGGCACTAATATCTGCTATTACAGGGCACGGAATTTCACATCGGGGTTGCCCTGTAACACTATGTGCCAGGAATTCTTTCAGTTTTTGTTTTATTTCATTGCCTTCGCACCACAACCTTTGTGATAGGTCTTATCATTCACATTTTACAGAGAATAAAATTGAGGGCTTGGCAACAATTCCAATTTATAGGATATAGCTAGGTTCTGGCTTTGGAAGTCTGCAGTTTCTAAAGCACTCACTGTTAGCTATCCCACTGTCATACTGGACATTCATGGACAATGCTGCTGACTAATTGTTGCTTCTCTTACACACATTGTAACCCTAAAAAAAGACTGTCTCCTAAAATTACACCATGAGATCTGTGCCACCATAGATATGGTGGAATAAAAATTAAAAGGGGGGATTGTAACAGGGTGGTCCCCAGGAAAGGGGGAGCTTCCCTGCCCCACCCAAGGGAGGGTGAAGCTGAGCAGGAAGAGGAGAAGCTGGACAAGAGACTGAGGAAGGAAGCAGGATGGAGCCAGGAGACCTGGAGGAGGCGCATGGAGCCTAGAGACACGTGAAGAAACAGCGCTTGTCTTTTGGTCGTAGACTGGGTGACACAGATGTGGGTGAGACCCATGGGGAGGTGACAATGGCAGTTTTTATCTTGATGTTGATTTTGCTCTTTTCCTTCCGGGCTTGTCTGGTTGTTTCTGACCCTTTTCTGTGGGTCCCCACTGGAAGGTGCTTTCGACTTGGGGTAGGCTTTGGGGCTTTGCTCTGGGCCAATCCCATTTGGATGGACTTTTACCCACGAGGGGACGGGTAACTTTGGGTGCTTCATTTAGAAACTAGACTCTTTGCCTTACCTGTATTGTTTCCTAGTTTTATTAAAGTTCCTTCCCATTAAAGTCTTATATGTTTTGTGTTGATGCGGCGGATGGCAGAACCCATGTAGAATAGGCAGGTTTGCGGGGTTTGGGCTGACCCTCTCCCTGTCCTATAACACTATGATCTCATCTCCACCTGCTGGTACAGCCTCTGGCATATTTTTAGTTCCAAATAAATTTACTTAACTGATGCAGTCAACTTCCTAGTGATGTCGTGTTTTATGCACAGAACGGGGCCAATTGGGTTACCTCTGAGGGAAGTTTTACCCGTTTCTCTTTCAGTGGCACAGACAGGCATTCCCCCATGAGGCAGAGACATTTGCAGTTATATCCAAAAGGGTAGGTTTATTATATTAATGAAGGAAAGAAAAGGATGCTTGCACAGACACAAATGGGCAGAAAGAGCTGCAAAGCAAAAAGTTTGTAAAAAAAAAAAACCTTCATAGTTATAGGTAGGCAGTCTGGGGAGGAGAGTGCATTTTGCTAGAGCAGATATTGGTATACTTTTCTTCTCTTTGGGGAGGGGTTCATTCCATTGTAGAATTGTTATCTATTGTTAAATTAATTACTTGCAGGGTGTGACTAGGTTGGCTTATAAAGACCAGAAAGTCTTCATAATAGCCCTTAATCTCCATACCCCCACCTCTGGATACTTTCTATAGCAGTCTGATACTGCACTGGCAGTTGGGGGCCTAAGGGTTTTTCATTTCTATTGCTGATTTAATGACTATGTTAATTATTTTTACCCCCATTTCCAGTTTCTAGTCTTATGAGGCCTCCATCCTAAATTTTTTACTTTTAGCTTCCATCAATATAACAGTTTCAAATGAAAAGAAACAAGGCTAAGAGCCATGGGAGTTTCACAACCATATGGTTAATTTTCACTTCACAGTGGTAACGGTTCTCATATTTGGAAGTTTGGAATTTGCCCAATCTCCTAGATAAGGGATGGCAAACATTGGACTCGAAGACCGAGACCCCCCTCCAAACTGCTCGAGGCATACCTCTGGGGATTATCCCCAACAACTCACTTCTCTCAAGTGCTGACTATTCTAAACCCTAGTGTAAGGGGCAGGAACGGGGCACAGTGCAGTTTTCTGATCCCATGCAGATCGGGTAAAGGAGGAGTCAGAGTCCTCAGTAGTTTTGCAGGTTTTTTATTTGGGGTTCACCAGGCATATGGCAGGCAGGGGTGCTGGCTGGGGGGCTGGGAGGCTGGCAGGCCTCCCAGCCCCCAGCAAGTCTTCACTCTATCTGGGCTCTCTAGCGTTCGTTCTGCTGCTTCTCGGCTTCTCTTTCGGTTCTGCTGCTGCTGGCTGGGGCTGCTGGCGTCCCCCCGTGACGCCGCCCTTAAAAGCACAGTCTTAGCTCAGCTAAATCCCATCTACCTATGCCCACACCCTATTCCAGGTGCCCGCCATCAGGCATGCATTCAGGACAAGGATCCATCATCTATCCTGATGGCGGAAGGGCAGAAAAGCCTGATATTTTCTTTACCCTACAGTCCACCCCCTCAGGGTTTTCTGCCACACAGTCTATACATACATATACAATTTTCTAAGCAAACAAACAATGCAGCCATGGCCCACAAAAGCAAATACATCAAATAACAAAATACAACATAACAAAATACAACAGAACACAAATAAGTCCAGGCAGGGCACCAACCAAGTGCAAAAGACAATTATTGGTACCAGCAGATGAGCACCAAATCTGCTGCCGAAGGCACTGCTCATACGAGGGAGGGGAAATCACACACGGCATCTGCTATACACACCAGGAGCCGTCAGGCTTCCTGGCCTTCTCTGGCTGTAGTCTCGGCTACAAGGCACACACAGCATCCACCCCAGGATGCACTAGCTCTGGGATTGGCAATTTTATTCTGTTGGGGTAATCGCCAACCCTCAGGGTTTCTGTCTGCAGTCGCTCCAACACTCGGCTTCATGGCCACCCATGCGACTCACAGACCCCTGCTCTCAAGCCAACCCACTGCACAAGCACATGGGTCGGGGATCCAAACTTTGCATTTGCTTGGGCTCCACCCCAAGCCACATTCCCCACCCGTCCCCAAGGACGGGCTCCTCAGCTCCTCACCCTCACTCAAGAATGAGCAGGGCATCACCCATAGGTGATTTTACGAGACTCACAGGGCTTCAGCATACCCAGGCTGCTTAACAGCCGCTTTAGGGCTTCTCAACTTAGCATCAGTACCAGCTTTTGCCACCTTAGTTGGCTTTTTCTCCTCCACCTGGCCACTGGGCATACACAGGCTGCTTTTGGCCATCTAGGCCCACTGGCCACCCCAGATTCTCAAAAAATAAACATAACCTGCTAAGGTCCTCCGCCTTCTGGCGGGATTGTCAGTCCAAATCATCAGTTAATCAGTCTATCAGTCCATTGGCCTCTCCCTGCTTCAGCAATGGCCTGCTGCCTCAGGGGTCATTGGCTGGTCCTTTCCGGTGTCGTTGGCTGTCCTATCCGGTGTCGTTGGCTGGTCCTATCCGGTGTCGTTGGCTGGTCCTATCCGGTGTCGTTGGCTGGTCCTTTCGGGCGTCTCCTTCACGCCAGGTCTCATCCTGTAGCTCGTGGACGTATCCATCTTCTATACCGCCATGGTGCCTCCAGCGTCGTCACAGGCAAAGTCTGTTCTCCTTAGTCCCTCCAGGTCTTCGGAGGGCTCCAATACCCGTCTGCATGGATCTTGCCGACATACGCCAATTGTAAGGGCAGGACTGGGCGCGGAGCAGGTTTTCTGATCCCATGCAGATCGGGTAAAGGAGGAGTCAGAGTCCTCAGTAGTTTTGCAGTTTTTTATTTGGGTTCACCAGGCATATGGCAGGCAGGGGTGCTGGCTGGGGGCTGGGAGGCTGGCAGGCCTCCCAGCCCCCAGCAAGTCTTCACTCTATCTGGGCTCTCTAGCGTTCGTTCTGCTGCTTCTCGGCTTCTCTTTCGGTTCTGCTGCTGCTGGCTGGGGCTGCTGGCGTCCCCCCGTGACGCCGCCCTTAAAAGCACAGTCTTAGCTCAGCTAAATCCCATCTACCTATGCCCACACCCTATTCCAGGTGCCCGCCATCAGGCATGCATTCAGGACAAGGATCCATCATCTATCCTGATGGCGGAAGGGCAGAAAAGCCTGATATTTTCTTTACCCTACACCTAGAAACTTCCTTGAGCCTAGCAAAACAACCTAATTAGCAGCTCTAATCACCCTCACTTTGCAGATGAAGAAAGTGAAGTCCAGAATGAGCCCAACAGGCGCCTTTCCGGCTTGGGACTAGAATGAGAATAGTGAAGGAATTTGGATTCTTTATAAATGAAATGAGCTCCTAACAAGTGCCAAGGACGAGGACCGCCTGGCTGCAAAAAGTCCAGAGCTTTCCGCCCCCAGGAGCATCACTGGGGGTGAAGCCTCAAGCCATGACCGCCCACTGAGCGGGGCTCCTGACTCTAATCCGCCAGCATCTGCCCGGATCTTGAAAAGCGACATTTTTATTTCCTGAGGGAGTTTCCCCGCTGTTTTCCCACCACCAAGCGGCCTAGCTCCAAGCCATCTTTCCGTCTCCCCAAATCCTTGACCCCGCCCCGCCCCGCCCCCTCCGCCCCGCCCGCCCCTCCGCCCCAGGATCAAAAATGGCGCCGACGGAGCCGGGTTATGACGTCCGCCGGAAGTGGGCGGGACTTCCGGTCGGGCCGGAAGTGTGGGAGGAGCCCCGGCCCGCGGCGGCCTCCGTGCGTGAGGAGTCCGGAGCCTGGGCGTGTGGAGCAGCCGCCGCGCGCCGCCGCCGGGATCATGGTGTTCTACTTCACCAGCAGCAGCGGTGAGTGGGCTCTGCGGCCCTCCGGGCTCCTGCGCGACTCCGAAGCCGGGACCCCCAGGCCGCCGCCGAGCCGGGACCCGTCCTAGAGCGCCTCGTCGGCGGCCGCTGCCCCCGCGGCCCCCGCCGCAGGCCCGACCCTGCGCCCCGCGGCCCCCGCAGGCCCGGGCGGCGGGCAGGGGCCGTCTTCTGTCGGCTTTGCATCCGGAGCCGCGCTGTGCCCGCAGTCGGACAGACCTCCCGGCGCCACCTGGACCTGGGCACGGCTGGCGGCGGCTCCGCACCCGCCCCGCGGCTGTGCTGGGTGTTTCCTCTCCTGCCCGAGCTCTGGCTGCGCCCCGAGAGCCAGCCAGCCTGAGGAGGGAAGCACACCTGCCGGCAGCTCCGCCGTACGGAAGCGCACCTGGCCCGGCTCGAGAGGGCTGTAGGTCCAGGGGTGCAACGGAAGGCCGCTTAGAAAAGAAATCACCCTGGAATGGCGACACAGCCGCTCGCTGGGCAGAGTTGCTGTCCCGGATCTTGAAAAGCGACATGCGATGATGTTTCTCATCTCTCTTTGCAGGCAAGGGAAGGGTGCTTCTCATTCCCAGAAAATGCTATCCCTGGACTTGCTTCGCTGCTTGTGATGTTCCCTTTGCCTCTGACGTGCTCCCACTTAACTTCTTGTTTATGCCAACTCTGGCCTGTCTTTTTTCAGTGCCTTCCTTTCTAGTGCCCGCCCAGAGATTGCTTAGATACACCTCTTCGGCCTCTCCACCCCCCCCCCCCTTAACTTCCTAGTATACCTTTGGCATCGCTCTTATATGTTACTAAATGCTGTCTTCTTGAGCTAGCGTGTAAGCCCCTTGAGGGCAGGGACAGGGTCTATTTCCCAGAATAGTGCCGGGTCGTAATAGTTAATAAATAATTGTTGAATAAATGAATGGCATTTCTTGACTTCCTCATAGTACACTGCTGCTACTCTTGCTGCTTGCTTGTTTACGGTGAGACAAGTGGAACCAGCCCCATGTTGTGATCATGGTTTGAATAGGCAGTACTTGCACACTGCACCCAGGAAAGTGGTAACTCACAGGCCCAGGCTCTTCCTGCTCCATCACATTGTCACACCGCCAAGTTTTAGAGCCCCACCGTGTGCAGTAAGCTATTTCTCTGTCTCTGTAGATTCAGTTTGTCTTAACCACTTCATTACAATTACTAGAAACAATTCAAACTAGTCTGAAAGATCACTATAAGCTCCTTACATCATTTTCATCTTTGTCCTGCTCTCTTTGTTGAAAGCATCTCTTTGAGGCTTCTTCAGTCATGGGTCCTCCAAAACGTAGATACCCACGCACCCAAGTCCAGCAATGGATAAGAAGTACAGGCTGAGCATAAAGGTACTAACGTGCTCTGCTGGCTGCTATGTTCTCCCTAAAGCCATTCTAAATGCTTTGGAGTACTAGTCATACCTAACACCGGTGCCCTTTGTGGAGCAGAGTACATGCGTGGTCCTATTTTTCTCACTGGCCTCCATTACAACATCAGAACTTAGTGCAGGAAAAATGTCTTCCATGTCTGACAGAACTGCATGTCAGTGAGCCTTTTAAAACCGAAAAGCAATGGAAATAGTGAAACTGTACATACTGCAATACAGAAATCTTGAGGATATGACTAAATAGAACTTGCTAAACTGTTCAACCAACTCCTGGCTTACTGCATACAAACTTCTTGTTTACTGCGTTAAACAGATGAGAAGAAAATCTTACAGAAAGTTTTTTCTTTTGTTTAATGATTAGTATCTCTGCTGAAAATCTGTTCAATTTTTATTTGTGCTTTCTCATAATGGAATAGTGAAACATTAGCCTTACTGTATTTCCAGCGTCAAGTTTAAGACCATCTGACTTACGAACCCAGAAAATACCTACACTTGGCTCATTAAGTCCATTTGTACTTTTAGTACCTTTTAATAACTCAATATCTTATTTAATATCATTGTGTTAATCACAGTTATTATTGTGCTTCTATATTGGGTTGGTTGTGACACCTGAATCCCTCTCCAGGTGCTCCTATACTAATCAATAATGTCATTTGGGTGAGAATAACAAAAGCACTAGACTAATTCAGCTTATTTTCCTTTATCCCTTTACCGAAGATAGGGGCTGAAGACTTCTCACTCAGTAATCATACGTCTTTTAATTTTCTATTAAAATTAAAAATTTCTGTTAGTCTTTCAAAAATTTACAAGAATAGTAAAAGATTTCCTTTGTATTCTTTCAGATTCCCCAAGTTCTAACATTTTACCACATTTGCCTTATCTCTTTTCCTTTTTCTCTCTGCCCTTTATCTTCATCTCTCCATATATTTCTTTCCTGAGCTCTTTGTAAAAAGCAAAAAGCATTTATCTTCTAAAGGCAAAGACATTCCCTTACTAAAAGACCTTTATCAAAATTGGGAAAGAAACCAACACTGCAACAATCCTATTAGGTTTTATTCCCCTTTCATCCTGACGTTGAAGAATTATTTTGTGAATGCCTCTCAGTTTGGCTTTATAGCAGTTATGTTCTTCGTCACCTCATTTTACAGATCTGCTGGCCAGTCATCTGCCATTTCCTGGGTTATAATTTAGACAACTTTTAAAAAGATATTTTGAAGATTACGTTTGTTCTGATTACAAAAGCCATCTTGTAAGTGAGCTAACCAAGTTAAATATTACTTACAGATACATGTCTTTCCATATGTATAAAGAAACTGGGTGTTTATATTAAAAATATATGTAAACATGTATATGTACAATCATCCTTTTTTCTTCCATATTGAGTCTTTGTATAGATATGTAAAAATGCTCTTCTATTTAATTTTTCCCCTGCCCTCTTTAGTGGATCCATGGCATTTTGTCTTTGGGTGTTCTCTAATGTATTTATCCAGTCTTAATGACTGTCTAGTCTGTAAAAAGAACATCAGTGCTTGGTGGACTCTTGCGGGATATACTCCTGAAGGTGACATTATAGGACCAAAAGGTAAACGCCTGAAGTATTGCCAGGTTGTGCAGAGAAGCTGAACACTTTTTGGTTTTACTCTGCACGTCTGGCCTGTATTCCTTGCTACGCTAAGGCCTTACCAACTAATAAAGTGCTTGCTATAGACAGGTATGTCCACCAGCAATCATCAATTCAAACATCCTCTCAAGTTAAATCTTTCAACAGCTACTTCTAAATAATTATGAACTGCAGTCACTGGGACTGCTCACTGAGGGCCTTTCCCCAGGAGAGGCGACTGCGATGGATAATCTGGGGAGCTTCTCATTATTGAAAGTGTGGGGAGGCCCAGGTTGAAGGATTTATATGTGAAAGAGTATGTTCCTGAACACTTAATCTTAGATCTGTGCTCAGAGAGAACCCTGCCTGCTCACCCTTGTCAGGCTGTGTAGACTGAGGGCCCCAGGAGTTGAGAGCCAGATGTAGTAAGTTTTGGTAGCTGAGCTTGGATAGCTGAGCTTTGGTAGCTGAGCCAGTTAGGAGACTGACTCCAGATGGAAGATGCCATGTTAAGACACACTGCCTCAGTAAGGCAAGTGTCCTTTGATAGGTAAGCCATACCCAGAATATTCCATTTGATTTAGGATTGTGCTGACTTCACATTAGAATCACTTGGAGAATATTTAAAAAAGGCAAGTCTCCTGCTCACACCATTAGCTTAGTGGGATGAGTCTAATGCTGTATAATCAGGGTCTGGAGCAGCTGATTTAGAAGTTTGTTTATGAGCTGTGTTTCTCCTTAATGGGGTAGGGAATCCATTATAATTTGTAGCTAAATAGCTGTTAATAAGATGGTAATAGAAAAATAATTTTGGCTAAGTAGGATTATGAAAAAAAAAATGGGCTTAGTAAAAGAATCTATTCTTAAATAGTTGAGGTAAATGTTCAGGCTTTTTGTTTTAAATTTCTTAAGAGGCAAGTACATAAACCTGAACTGCAATTCACTAAATTAAATCCCTGAGGAAGTAGGAAAGTCACTATTTATAAGGTCAGGCAACTTGCCGTTTGGGCCAGATAGTAAATATTTTAGATTTTGTGAACTGCCAACAGTTTTGGTAGCTTATTATTTGCTTCCCTCCCACCTACCCCCCCCAACTCTTTAAAGATGTAAAAATATTTCTTAGCTTGAGGACTGCCTAAACCAGGGCTGGATTTGTTCCTATGGACCACTTTGTCAACCTCTAATCTAATCCCTTGTCACTTGTTTTTCTCATGAAACAGTTTGGTTGGTGATGAATTTTATCTAACTGGTTTTTATTTTTTTTTTGTCTTAGTTAATTCATCTGCTTACACTATTTACATGGGAAAGGATAAATATGAAAGTAAGTTTCCAAAAGCATTTGATTTTGAAATTTCTAGCAGGTAAGTGTTCATTGTCTTTCCCCTCGTATGGTTGGATTTGAGTTTTGAAGTAACCTGTTGATTCTATTAAATAACTCATTATAATAATATGACCCTTCAGCGGAGTTCTCCAGAATTGAGTCTTATCAGTATTTGAGCTGACAGGCCTACCTGTTGTTGATTAGAAACAAAGAATTTTGTGGTGTTACTTGATTTAGGGTAGTGTGAATCAGAAGTTGACCTGTGTTAATTTATTAGCTCAAATAAAAACAAGCTGTGGCTTTGACTTTGAAAAGATCATTTTCTACACAATCTTGCCACATTTAAGATTAGCATGGTTTTTGGGACTGAAGGTGACTCTTTTGGAATCATGACATGCTGGTTTTTCAGTTTGTTGACCACTCTCTTCAGAATGAAATACATTTTTTTCATACTATATAAATTATATAACTAAAACAAATTTATAAAAACCACTCATACTATTTGCTATGCCCTTTTCTGTTTTACTTCATTAAACTATTCTTGACCTAAATTAATTTTTTGATCCAGCAATTAATTTGAACTAAAGTTTAAAACAAAGACACTGCTTTGGGGGAAAAGTAGCCTTTTTGACTAAATGAGGCGGGAGACAGAAGAGACTGTCCGCACTCTTGAGGCTTTACCGCACGGTCTCGGGTGTGAGGGGGAGAAGAGTTGGGGAGCGTGAGTCACACTCTTCTTCAAGACTGGAAACGCAGCTGCTCTTCTCACTGGGTGGGTGATGATTTGGAAGGAGCTTTGGGTCAGGCCAACCTAGGTAAAGGCCCCAGCTCTTGGGCAGACTGGCTGTGTCACTCCATCTCTTTGAGCCTCAGGTTTCCTAGGTATGAGGAGGGGGTCACAGAGAGAATGAACCTGCACGGCGGTGGAAGTTAAATAAATAAAAGAGGCTGGGTGAAGTGCCTGGTTCTCGGGCACTCAGCAAATGCCAGTTACCTTCACTGGAACTTCTTTCACTGCCCAGGGCCGCCTCCTCCCTCCCTGGGATCCCTCTAGGGTTTGAGGCCTCAGTAGCCGGCAGCTGTCCCATTCACCACAGCATCTGTGGTACAGCTTGAGATGGACAATAGTTTGAATGTAACCTTCATATGCCTTTAAAAGAGGCAAGTATAATATTCTTTTTCAGATTGAAATATTTCACATTCATGAAATCATTAGGCCAAGAGTGAAAAGTTGGCACAGTAGTGATAGCAGTGACATACAATTATGTAATTACATATAACTATATGTAACTACAGCAATTGTGTTTGTGTATAGTGGCATATAAATGTTACCACTGTATATAGTATTCTGCGTACACATAGTTATTTATAAGTCAGACAGATGCTGGCACCTGGCAGTAACAGTGGTTGCCATAACACAGACTCAGTCTCAGCGAGAGACTATTACATTCTAGCAAGAGAAAATTAAAACAAGACAAAACAACTCCCATTTTTAAAGTTTTTCCTTTTAATGAACTTACGACTCTGACTCTGGGTGTGACTTCATGGGAAGCAGGCTGCATGCAGTGTGTGGGGACTGGGTTATACATGTCTCCCGGTAACCCGCGCATTGTCATAGCCAGTCTGTGTCTAATCTCATGGTGTCCTTCTGGTGCGTGCCGCAGAGGCAGGTGTGCGCTCTCCCTGTGTCGTGTTGAGCAGTAGGACACAGCCACGAGACTCAGGTATCTCTGGGAGATGAGACACCAGCCTGCCAGGTCTGCTTTGCCTCCTGTCATGTCAAGGATGGGAACCTGAGAGTTAGGTCACCTAGGGGCGCCTGAACAGAGCTGCACATATGGATATTTGTGTCTGCACTGCTGCTCGTGGGTGGGCCTTGTGTAGTCCCTGCAGTGACGGTCCCACCCTGCCTCTCTTTCTCCCGCTGAGTTTACTTCTTGTGGGAGCTTGTTGGGCCATATGGTGGGTCCCCAGAAGCCGCCGGTGAGCGTTTGCAGGTGGACACCCACACGGAAACCAGCAGGGCCAAGCTGTACTGTGAACCTAATACTGCTCTAAAAGTTTCTAAAAATGGATGGAGTAAAGGAAGATCAGTAGCAAATGCTGTTACGAGTGGAAGGACAAAGAGTCAGTGTGAGGAGGGAGCGCTTGGGAGGCTCCCTCAGGAGTGGGTGGGCATGGGTTGGCTTGTGGGATTCTTTAAATGTCCATTGTTGGTATTTATCAGTAGAATTTGGGTCTACAGATGTACATTGAGATTATTCCTAGCATGCTGTGTGGTGGTGGTTTGTTGTCAAAAATGGGAAACCCACTTTCAGGAACTGTTGGGGTCAGTCAGACACAGCCTGGTTTGTAAGGACGGTGCCACACGCTCACCTCACAATTCTAAGGGCCTGGAAGATTTCAGATGAGGGTCAGGTGGGCTGACTTACTTGCCCTGTGAGGCTGTCAGGTCTGTGCTTTCCATCAGCCAGCAGGTGTCACCAGGGAGCCAACAATGCCTGACTGAGGAAAAGTGGTTTCCATTATTTCCTTTTACTTTTTCTGATTTCCTGTTGACTGTTTGCTCAGCTTCCCACTTAAGCAAGTAGAAAGCCCTTCAGAATACATGCGGTGTCTGTGAAGAGACAATTACTAAGAAAACTTTTTGCAAAATTTTGCCCAGATTTATCATCTCTTTGACTTTGCTCAAGTTAAGTGTATTATGCTTTCTTGGATACACTTAAAATTACCCTGTACTTAGGGTTATTCTATACTTTGCCTTATAATCTTTAGCTTGGTGCTGATATGTTAAGTAATGCTTTTGTGTTAAATACAATTAGTTACTAATTATTAATGTGCCTGGGCTTAGAGTATATTAATATAATCACCTATAGTGATATGTATTATTAGTCTTAAAAATGTACATACGTTTTGCACTAGTACTTCTTCACCTTTTAGAAATATACCTGAAGGAAATAATCAGGAATATATTTTTAAAAAAGATTTATTGAAACATAATTAGCACAAATGTCAGCAATAGGAAAGCTTATCCATACAACACCTAAGTAGTCATTGTTTCCAAAGAACTTTTTCAGATTTTATTTTTGTCTAACAGGTGTTTTAAGAATTCAGATAATAACCATGCTCACAACGAAAAACATCAACTTGCCCTCATCCTTTCTCAGTACTTGTGTTCTAATCCCCAGAGATAGATACTTTGGACTCTTGACTATTCGATTTTATTTTCATTTTTGTTTGAATTTTAGGTGATTTTTATGTTCTTTTTATACTCATTTGTTTTGTTCCCTAATTTTCTAGAATTTTATGTTTGAGATTTTTTTTTAACAACTAAAAATGCAGTCCATAGTTTTTTGCAAAACTATATTTTTTAAAAGATTTATTTATTTATGCATACAAGAACTGGGGTACAGGCCAGAGGTGTGTGTGTGGGGTAAGAGGAGTCACCAGACACAGAGTAGGGAACAGAACAGGCAGACTGTCTGAAATACACTCCTGAGGGGAGCAGCGGGCGAAACAGGAGAGGTCTGCTGCGCCATGTGGGTCACCTCCCTGGCCGGGGATCCAACTCTGTGCTGCAGTGGCTGTGGACAGCTTCCTAGGTTGTGTCTTCCAGGGAGACCCTTTTGCAAAACTATTTAAACATGGATCGTTACAGTGAAGCAGTTTCCTAAGATATCATCTAGTTTCTCAGCTACTCTGAATTGTCAGTGTTTATTATTCTCAAAGAGAAATATAATTGAACTTTGATTGTAAGTATTTTATTAAAAAATTATAAAGGTTATTATATTCGTAAAAGCTTTTTATGATTTTTTCTATGTTTTCAGACATCCAAAGTGTCTCAGAATTATTTTTCTCCATTAAAGGAGAAAAAAACATGTGGAAAGGACTGGTATTTCTCCTCCCCAGCTGACTGTAAACTCTGGAATAGCTTCCTTAGACAGTCTTCCTTACCTGTTCTCTGTCCCTTGTATCTCACTGTAGATGAAGATCTAATAAAGCATGGCTGGCCGGAGGATATCTGGTAAGTAACAATGTTGGTTCTGCATTTTGTGAGTCATTATTTACTTTCTTATACTTGGCCACCCACCTGACTCTATGACTCTATGACTCTATGACTCGAACTTGGGGTATGTATTTTTATGAGCCATCAACAGTGAACAGGTAACTGCCAGCTCCCTCCCTTGTAATTACCATGAAAACTGGTAATGATACTTCTGGCTTAGATCTCAGGCCTAAGCGCAAAGAGCTCTGGAATATAGGCTTTTACCTCCTTTTTGTCTGCTCAGAATAAGTTACTGAGATCACAGCATTTACATGGGCTTCGTAAGAATCTGTGAAGAAAATAGACCCCAGTTCCCGCGTAGACACAGCTTCTGACCAGACCCGGCTGTTCGGAGACGGACTGGCGTCCTTTGTCTTCTTACCTCCTTCCTGGATTTAGCTCTGGCTTCTCCTTGCCCTTTCTTTCTAACATAATTCATGGAAATTTAAAAAATAATGATATGTACACTCAGCCTCCTCCTAAGGAGGCTGCTACAAAGCCACTCCAAAAACAAAACAAATTAACAGAAAAAAGTTCTTTCACTTTACCTAAATTGTTTTGTTTTGTTTTATTGTCTTAGAAATCATCTTGCCATATGGGCTTGACCACTAAACCAGGCCCTCTTAGGAGTGGGTGGGCCCCGGTCGGTCTTTCTCTCCTGCTTTCTTGTAGTGCTCTCCCACGCAGCGTGCTGGCTTTCTGTCCCAGCCCCCTCCATCCCCCCTGACCTGCGATGTCTCCTCTGGAGTCTCATTCCACCTGCTGAGCAGGATGTGGTCTCCTCACTACGAACACCCTGCCAAGTGCCACCTCTGAGGATCAGTGTCCAGACCTGTTGGCTTTGCTGACAGTCAGAGTGACCATGTATGCGGCACATGACCACCTGCCGAGTACCTTGAGCTGTTTTCCCTCATCGGTACATTTCACTGCAAAACAGCCCTGGGAGGTGGTTGCTCCCTCCACCCCCGTTGCTCTGATAGGTGACTAAGGCTAGGGGAAACCAGAACACCAGAACACCTCTGCTCTGCAGTGGCTGCCCCCAACAACCTCTACCTCTGAGTCACTGCTCCCCCTTCCCATCTTGGCTCGGCCACTTATGGGCCGCAAGTCACTTTTCTTTCCTTGGGCTGTTTGTTGCGACTTTCTCTGGACCTCTTCTCTCTCTGGGTTGTGGGCCCAGACCCTTCACTTATTTCCCTGCAGTCACAGTTCGGCTGCTGCATTTTAGAAAAGGTATAAGCCTGAACATTTGGGAAGGACTGCTCCACAGAGGGACTCGGGCTGCCCCTGTGTGGGCTCTGCCCAGACCCCGGGCCAGTCTGCAGGGACTCCTGAAGGCCTCCCTGGTAAGAAGGGATTTTCAAGACTTTAAAATCTGCGCCCCTCCAATTACAAAGGCCCCTGTTCTGAATTCAAGTACATCATCGGGGGGATACTCCTTGGGGTCCCTTAGTGTGGGTGGGCAGTTTGCTTGTGCTGAGGACTCTGGATTGGGTGCTACCTGCCTTCCTAGAGCTCTCAGCTAGAAGTGAGCCCCTGGGGACAGTGACTGCTTTGTGCTATTGGTAGGTCCCCGGTAGTTGTGCCCAAGAACCTGCAGTCAAGCTTGCTGACTTCCTAACTAAGTAGCTCTCTGCTGCCTCCAGGGCCTTTCTCACAGTCACTGCACTTGGGAGGCCTCTGTTTTGAGCACCTGTCACCCCGACTGGATTGTATCCTTTGTCTTTAAAACCCATAGCTTTCCATGCTGGTCAGGGAGATGTACCTGGAATGCAGTCACCTGCTGAGAACTTCTACCTGGTCAGGTGGGAGGCAGAAGTGTGTGCATGGAAAGGTAACATCTGCAGGTGTCCCATGAAATTCACTTTGCCACAGCCTTTTATCTGACATTAAGGGAAAAATGAAATGGAAGAGAAATTTTCTAGTTTACTACCATATCCCACCTGTAGGGTTAGGGTTTGCATTTCATCAAGGCCGACTGTCTCCTGGTATGTCAGTTACAAGTCCGTGTCTACAGATGACCTGGATGCCCATGTGGGCACTCAAGTCGTCTTGAGGTTAACCACTATTGTTGGAAGTGATTGACCTTTCAAAGAAGCTATTTGAGGTTTGATGTAAGCTGGAATTACCCTAAATTTCAAGATCCATTCTGGCTTATAGACTGCAGATCCTGGAATCATTCCTGGGCCCACATCCCAGGGCAGATTTCACCGCCGCTTCTCTGAATACCAGCATCTGCATTTTCTCCAGGAGACCTCCCGGGCTACCTCCAAGTGAAGGGTTTTTCTAGTATTAGTGAGAGTGGAACTAAATCCACTTTTAATTAAACAAAGAAAAATAGAAATTGTGTACCTCACTGCCTCAGCGAGGGAAGCAGAGGACCCAGCTCCTAGCATCCTGCGTCCCGTGTCCTCCTGCCACCCAGGTGCATCTGTGGAGTTTCTGGTCTGCACCCAGCAAGGGCACTGATTTTGGGGCGGGAGGAAGATGGAAGTTGCTCACGACACTTTTGTTCACAGACCTGGTTTTTCTTGGTTTGCATTTCAGCCACAGCCCCCGGCTGCCCTCCTCTGCCATTTGCAGAGCCTAGCTAAAGTTGGTCCACTAGGCAGTGACAGGCCGCGTGCCAGCAGTTCGCGCGTGTGCGGCTCCATTAGCTATATGTTGCGTTTTTTTGATATTTCTTTGGACGGAATTCTACATCAGACACCACTAAGAAACATCCGCTACAGGGGAGGCCCTGTGCTTCTGCAGGAAAGGGTCGTAAATGGAGAACCAGTTTCAAACAAGTAGACGCTGGAGTGGAGAAGCTGCCGCTCAATTGAGCTCACTTACTAACGTGGTGTTTCCCTGACATCCTGAAAAAGGGTATTGAGATGTAATTTCTAGATGTACCAAAAACACATTTTTCTGGTGGAAAGTACCAAATTGGAAACAATAACCAGGAATCTCTGAATGTAAATGAGTAAATAGATCTTTTTTTTTTTTAAAAAAAAAAAAGATTTAGTTATTTATTTATACAAGCACTGGGTATAGTCAGAAGTGCGTGAGGGTGAGAGAACTCACCAGAGCCAGAGTGGGGAGCAGAACAGGCAGACTGACGAAATACACTGCTGAGGGGAGCAGCGGGCAAGACAGGAGAGGTCTACTATGCCATGTGGGATCCTCGCCTGGCAGCCGGGGATCGAACCAGTACTGCAGAGGCTGCGGGCAGCTTCGCAGACCAGCGGTCAGCCGCTGCGCCACTGGTGAGGCCCTAAATAAATCTCTTGGAGAAAAATAATTCAAGCATGTTATGTCTACTTGTGGCTCTCAGTCAAGATCAGAATAAAACCTGAGTCATCATAGACTGTTAGCCAAAAATGCCTAGTATTTTTATCGATCCAGGGTGACATTGCAGAGTGCTCTAGAGACAACATGACTTCACCCTGTGTCCGTTTTCACTTCCAGAAAATATATCTGGGTTAAGAACATGTCTCGAGAAACAATGGGATGTAACGGTGCTCCTTGGGGTCTTACCCAACACTCCTCATACAGGATAGGGAGGGACTCAGGAGGAGGTGACTGAAGTTAGCGGAATCTCAGAGCGACAGTCTGTTCCTTTGTCCCCTGTGTGAGGCTGGGGCTTCTCTGGGTGCTGAAAGATGTCGGCTTTGCTGGGTGGATTGTAACTATGAAAAATCTAGTATCCCTAAATGTTGCGT